TAACCTTTTAGATCAAGACATCATTCGTGAACTAAACAAGAATCCTGAGTGTTACCTTGACCCAGAAACAGAATGTGACACCAGCTATGGAACTTTGAAGAAAAAATGTCAAACAGACCCTCACACTAGTTTGCTTCTTTTCCCACAAGTTCAAAGTAAAGACCCCTCAAAATTAATGTTTGATGGCATTCGAAAGCAAGTCTCAGCAAAGCAATTGCTGGAATGTGGTGTTCTTGACAAATCAACATTTGATAAACTAGTCAAAGGGCAAAAAACTGTCCCAGAGATTTCTGTTGATAAGAAGATATTTTTGAAAGGGACTGGACCCATTGCTGGGGTTGTAGCTGGCCATCAAGATAAACTATCCTTGTCACAAGCCAAGAAACAGAAGATCATATCAGAAGAAAGTGCAAATTTACTTTTAGAAGCTCAGGCTGCCACAGGTTATATCATTGACCCTAAAACTGACCAGAAACTTACCGTAGACGAGGCATGTGTAAAAGGAGTGGTGGATTCCAAAGACCAAACCAGATTTTTGGCAGCTGAGTGTGCTGTTATTGGATATAAGGACCCTTCTTCAGGCAAGCCAATTTCAGTGTTTGAAGCTATGAAAAAAGGACTTATTGATGAGAAGACGTGCTTACGTTATTTGCAGGCCCAGGACTCAGTGGGAGGAATTTTAGATCCTAATCTTGGTGTATTCCTACCAAAAGACACAGCAATTAAGCACAACCTTTTAGATGAAAAACTTAGAATTTCTCTAAAACAAAATCCTGCTTGTTACATTGACCCTGAAACTGAGCATAATATCAGCTATGGTGCTTTGAAGGCCAGATGTAACACAAACACTCAAACAAGTCTACACATTTTGCCATTGTCAAAGAAGGTTGATTCCTCCAAATTACTTTTTGAAGGTGTACGCAAGTCTGTCACAGCACTGCAGCTTCTTGATTGTGGGATTCTGGACAATCGAGCATTTAACCAACTAATGAAAGGGGAAAAAACTGTCTCAGAAGTTGCTGTTGACAAAAAGGTCTTTCTGAAGGGGACAGGATCAATTGCTGGTATTGCAGCTGGACCTTTGGGAAAAATGTCTTTTACTGAAGCAAAGAAACAAAAAATTATGTCATCTGACAGTGCAAACATGCTTCTTGTGGCCCAGGCAGCCACGGGTCACATTATTGACCCCAGAACTAATCAGAAATTTACGGTAAAAGATGCATGTGCCAGAGGAATAGTGGATAAAGAGGATGAATCTATCTTGTTTGCAGCTGAGTGTGCTGCAATAGGTTACAAAGATCCAGATAGTTCCAAAACTTTGTCAGCTGGTCAGGCAATGAAAAAGGGCCTTATTGACAAGGACACTGCTCTGCGAGTGCTTCAGGCTCAAGAGTCTGTTGGTGGAATTTTGGACCCTACCCTGGGTGTGTTCTTACCCAAAAACATAGCAAAGAATCGGGATCTAATGGATGAGGACCTACAACAAGCCTTGAAACAGTCTCCTGAGTGTTATCTGGACCCAGATACACAACAACCAACTACATATATATCACTTAAGAAAAAATGTAAATCTGATCTAAGCACTGGACTTTTGCTTCTCCCTAAACCCAAACAGCCCCTTACTATACAAGGACTTCGAAATCAGGTATCTGTCATAGAGCTGGTTAATGCAAACCTGCTAAGCAAATCTGACATGGACCAACTGAATGCAGGTAAATTGACATGTCAGAACATCGAGGACCGCCTGCGGTCATACTTAAGAGGTTCCACCTGCATAGCAGGAGTTTACAATGAGGCCACTGATAAAGTGATGACAATCTATGAGGCCATGAAAAATGGATTGCTGCGATGTGGTACCACTCTTGAATTGCTTGAAGCCCAAGCTGCCTCAGGCTTTATTATTGATCCAGTTAATAATCTCTATATGACTGTTGCGGAAGCCTACAATAAAAGACTTTTTGGGCCAGAATTTAAGGACAAACTACTATCTGCAGAAAAGGCTGTAACTGGGTATAAAATGCCTGGAACAAACAAGATTATCTCTCTCTTTCAGGCTATAGAGAAAGGTCTAGTTGAGAAAGGCCATGGCATTCGTCTATTAGAGGCCCAAATTGCCAGTGGTGGCATCATTGATCCTGAACACAGCCATCGTATTGAAGTGAATGTTGCCTACAAGCGAGGTTACTTTGATGAAGAAATGAACAAAATCCTGACTGATGAAAGTGATGATACTAAAGGTTTCTTTGACCCAAACACAGAGGAAAACCTAAGTTATCTGGACCTTAAGAAACGATGTATCACAGATAAAAAGACGGGTCTCACCCTGTTGCCCATCATTGACAAGAAAAAACAAGAGTCAACCCAAAAGAACACTTTAAGAAAGAGGAGAGTGATAATTGTAGACCCGGACACAGGTAAAGAGATGACAGTACGTGAAGCATATGACAAAGAGTATATTGACTATGATACATACCTGGAGCTTGCAGAGCAAGAGTGTGAGTGGGAAGAAATCACCATTACAGCTCCAGATGGTTCAACAAGGTTTGTTATTATTGACAGACGATCTGGAAGACAGTATGATATCACGGACTTGCTTGAAAAGCGAATCATCAGTGAAACCACTGTACAACAGTACCGCTCAAGAACCATCACCCTAACACAGTTTGCAGATATACTCACTGATAAGACCAAAAATCTGTCGTTATCATCAACAAAAGTTACACCACCAGAAATCTCTGGAACATCAACAGTAACATCATCATCATCGTCGTCAGTGTTATCATCATCATCCAAGTTAATACCACCAGAAATCTCTGGAACATCAATGGTATCATCATCATCATCAGTCTTATCATCATCATCCAAGTTAATCCCACCAGAAATCTCTGGAACATCAATGGTATCATCATCATCATCATCAGTCTTATCATCATCATCCAAGTTAATACCACCAGAAATCTCAGGCACATTATCTGGAACAATATCATCATCATCAGTTTCCAAAACATCACAATCACAATCTTCAAGTACAACTTTGGTGACAAAATCCACCTCAAGAACAGAAACTTCTGTTCCCACATCGCTGACATCATCTTCCTTGTCCTCCTTCTCATCAACAGCTGTGTCAAGACCCTTATCACCTACTTTTGCCAAAACAACTACGACAAAAACTATTACTATCACAGAACGAAGCTCTGCTGGCAGGACTGTCAAAAATGTTCAAGAATCTTGTGACTCCGGTAAGCAAACATCCAGTGTATCAATCAGTCTGTCCTCTCCTTTTGAAACAGTGGGTGAAACTGAACCAGTGGGAGCCATTTTTGATACTGACACAGTAGAGAAGATTTCCATCACAGAGGCTTTAAATCGTGGTCTAGTGGATTCTATCACTGCCCAAAGATTGCTCGAGGCCCAAGCTTGCACTGGAGGAATTGTCAATCCCACAAATGGCCAAAGAGTTAGTACCCAAGAGGCCTCCCGCATGGGCATAATAACTGAAGACATGGCCAACAAGCTTAAGCCTGCCCAGAAAGCCTACAATGGTTTTGAGGATGTAAAAAACAAAAGAAAGATGTCAGTGGCTGAGGCCATGAAGGAAATGTGGCTCCCATATGATGCAGGTCAGAGATTCATGGAGTTCCAGGTTGTAACAGGTGGACTATATGATCCAGAAAAGGGTTGCAGAAGAAGCTTAGAGGATTCTTTGAAAATGGGCTGGCTGGATGCAAGAGCAGCACAGAAGCTCCAAGACAACAAACACCACTCAAAAATCCTGACATGTCCCAAAAGCAAACTAAGAATCTCTTACAAAGAAGCCCTTGACAACTGCCTAGTAGAAGAGGAGACTGGGGTGAAAATGCTCCAAGCATCATCTGTGTCTTCCAGAGGAATCAGCAGCCCCTATAATGTGTCTTCTGCCCCTGGATCCTCCACGGGCTCCAGGAGTGGCTCACAACGGAGCTCCCGCAGGGGCAGTTTGGATCTAGGCTCCCCATTAACACAACACTTCAGTTTTAGCAGCTTCACCACCTCCTTTTCTTCAACTAAATAAATAAGGAAAGAACAAAGTTCTGCACATGCATGTGTTCTTACAAACCAGTTTGAATTAAGAGAATCATTTGATATGCATAAAAGTACAAAATGATTGATGTGTGCTTACAGAGAAATAGTTTTTATTTCTCTTTAATCTTCTTAGAGTTGTGCTTTGGTGTTTTATGTTTTAAAAATTTTAGGCATGATGAAGATCACATTTTTACCAATTAAAAATTATTAAAGCCACAACCAGGTATTTGGATTGAAAAAAAAATAAATGTTTTTTTATATAGGAATTGAATTGCCATGTTTTTTTAAACAATTTTTTTTTTTTTTGCAGATTGTTTCAAATATGTTTTACTTAAAGCTTCATAAAATGTTTCTTCACTACAATATGAGCTGATAACATAAAGTTATTGTTTTCGTTCATCCTTTAAGATGCGTGTGTTTGTTTTCTGGGATAAAGCATACTAATTTTGGTGATTTGATCGACTTCTTTTCTGATACAAACTTATGGTTTATAATGGTTTCTCGTCGTCATTTAATAAAAATTCATTTTCCTCTTGAATATTTTGAACTTTCTTTTTTTTTTTTACATATAGTATTTATCCAAACACACCTAAGTGTCATATCATAGATCAGATTTAGTTGTTAATCAATTTGATTAGCTCATTTATGACTATACAGCAAAGAAAGACCTCAGATCCAACCAATTACTAATTACTGCAAGAATGGCAAATGAATGAAAATAACTCCAATGGCTAAAACATATCTAAAACAATAAAACATTTTTATTCTCTTACCGAAAAACAAACTTCTTTCATTAGAGAAAGTCAGATAATGTTACACAAATTAACCCTCCAGTTGTCTGCCATTCAAAATGACCTAATTGGTCTTAATTTTAATCCAAAAGCAGCAGGAAGGTTAAAATGCATTTTTTATTTTAAATGCATCACATGCACCACTTGTTACAGCTAACAATCAATACACTGTTGCAGGCTTTAAATCTTTGTAACATTTTATATTTTAAAAGGGACTCAGGTTGACTCAACAATAAAGGGCATGTAAAGGAATTATTTTCATTAAGTTGAGCCATGAGTGACCCAAAAACGTATATCAGAGTAATTATAGTTATAGTCATTATTTGTACGCATATGTTACATTATAAACATAATGTTAATACCAATTGTTTCTCACGCGAGGTTCTCAAAAACAAAAACAAAAAATCTGTGGCGGAAAATTTGAGAGCGGTGTCACCAACCTTCAAAATAAAAGTATGTTGCTATATTCAATTGATTGTAAAAATCGACAATACGTGAAATGTACATGAGAATGCCCTTGATATTGAAAATTTCTGGTCTTTAAAGTGTACATCTGCCCTGCAAGGTGAACACGTACCGAGATGACATATTTTGAAATTCTAAAATTAGTTTGCGACTTTTACTTTGAAATAATGACCCGGAAGTGCTTTTGCAGAGCACTTAGCGAGCAGTTGAACGTGACGTGAGACGTGTTCGGTTTAATTTGAATTCGAGTCGTTCAGCTGAATGACATTTTGTTTATCAGATATTGTAAATATTAAACTATAAATAAAATGTGCTAGACGTTTGAGCTTGTTGGTTATACGTCTTTTTCGCAAACAAAGCAACAACCGGATGTAGCTAATTGGTGCAAACTCCGTGGACACAATCTGGATTCGCTGTGAAAACGCGTCGAGGTAAGAACTTGTGTTCGTTATATCGGTTCGTATCTAAACAATTACCTCTCTAGCAGTTTTAAAAACCTTCGTGCAGGAGGAGAAATCCATATGTGGTACATACTGATTAATTCTACTGCAGCTTTTACTGAAAATATAAGACGAGCGCGGAATAATTCAGTTTATTTTATTTCTATAGCACCAAGTCACAACAGAAGTGACTCAGGGCTCTGAACAGAAACATTTATATATATTTATATATATATATATATATATATATATATATATATATAAACAAGTTAACAGTTTTTATCTGAGGAGCAGACTGCTTTGAGTTTAGCTCCCATCACAGAACTCTCATCTTGAGCATGAAGGCGACAGTGGGAAGAAAAACATGAGGAAGAAACTTTTAGCAGAACCAGGATCAGGACAAGCAGCATCCGCTTCCACCGGCTGGGTTTGGTAGGAACAGATACACAATGGCAGGCTAAGATAAGACTGAGGACTGTTCAAATAGATATAGTATCAAATAAAAACTATTCAATTTTAGCAACCCATTAAAGGAAATAATGTAAATTTGTCCTCTAGCAGTTTAAGCCTATAGCAGCATAACGAGCCAAAAAAGGAAAGTCTTAAAACTGGACAATGTGTCGGCCTCACGGACAAAAACTGGAAGTTGGTTCCACAAGAGAGGAGCCTGAGAACTGAAAGATCTTCCTCCCATTCTGCTTTTGGAAGCTCTAGGAACCACGAGTAAGCCTGCAGTCTGAGAGCTCTGTTGGGGGGAAAGTATGGAACAATAAGATCTTGAATATAAGATGGAGCTAGGTTGTTGAGAGCTTTGTAGGTTAGAAGTAAGATTTTGAATTCAATTCTGGATTTGACAGGGAGCCAGTGGAGAGAAGCTAAAACTGGAGAGATATGATCTCTCCCACTAACACCAGTTAAGACTCTGGCAGCAGCATTTTGGATCAACTGGAGACTTTAAAGAAGTTTTTGGACACCCAGATCATAAGCCATTGCAATAGTCCAGTCTAGACATTAATAAATAGCTGTTAATAAAGCTAACTGATGCAAAAACACTAATAATCCAGTAGCAGCACGTTTTTTAAACTTTAAATTTGTTTTACTAAATAGGTCTTTTATAATGTTCGTTTAGCACTTATTTTCAGTTTATCATTTACAAACATTATGGCTCCAAATAATGCACAAGAAAGACCTGTTTCAGTGGACAAAAATATCAAATATAGTTGTATACACAAGCCATTAGTTCAATCAATCCATCAACTTTATTTATATAGCACATTTTAAAAACCACAAGGGTAGCCAAAGTGCTGCACAATAAAACAATAAAAACAATAAAAACATACAAAGCATACACAAAGAAACATAAAAAACCATTCACATACCAGTTTCACAGCAGGTGTATTAAAAATCCATAAAAGATAAGATCACGTGTTAAAAGCCAAAGAATAAAAGTGTGTCTTTAAAAGAGATTTAAAAACAGGAAGAGAGGAGGCCTGTCTGACACTCGAGGGTGAATTGTTCCACAACCTGGGAGCAACAACAGCAAACGCTCTGTCACCTCTGAGCTTCAGCCTAGTTTTAGGGACTGTCAGCAGCAGCTGATCAGCTGATCGTAGGGATCGGGGTGGACAGTAAGGCTGAAGCAGCTCAGACAGATATGGTGGGGCAAGGTTGTTCAGACATTTAAAAACAAACAGCAAAAGCTTAAAATTAATTCTGTAGTGCACAGGGAGCCAATGAAGGGACGCCAGGATGGGAGTGATACGCTTGCGCCTACGAGCCTGAGTTAACAGGCGAGCAGCAGAGTTCTGCACAAGCTGCAGACGAGCAAGAGACGTCCGGCTAATGCCTGCATACAGCGCATTACAGTAGTCAAGACGAGCTGTGATAAAAGCATGGATTAATTTTTCCAAGTCAGGTCTTGCTAGAATACAATGTCTACTGCAATTCAAGCAAAGTATCTGATAAAACAGGATAGAGCTGTGGTTCCCAAAATGTCACTGCTTTTCACCCATAAAATAAAAGCTCCAAACACTTGTGCCCCATATTTCATTTTAGTATGCACAAATCTTCCAAATAAGCCGTCCATCAACGACCCAGTGAAACATCAGGTATGTTTTATTGCATTTATTACTGTTATTGTATTTCTCTGTAACAGCTGAGGCTAAAAGTGCCTTGGCAATCATTTGTAAGGTTCATTTTTTATCCTCAAGACCTGACGTTTAGTGTTCATGACCCCAAGGGGGTCAACTTTGAGAACCACTGGTCAATGGTCCTTAAACAGCTAAAAGTTTACATCAAATTTAACATTAAAGTGTTTTATTATTACTGATCTTCAGGTTGGTCTGAGAGCTGAAATGTTGATGAAAGTTTGAATCCATTAGTTTTGCATGTGTAATTGATCCTTTTTTGTTTTATATTTAGCAAAGAAACTTTTATTTTGCAGCTTATCAACTCCTCTGACTAGCTATGAGTTTGTCATGGGCACAGTTTGCCAACTAGTTTCTTTTGTAGGACTCATTCTCTCCTGTAAAACTGTGTCGTTCACTTGTAAAAGAAAACAAGTATTTTACGTTGTTCTTTACATATTCAGGCCCCGTCGTACGGATCGCGTCATGGCTGACGACCCTCAAAGAAACTTCCGCTCTACATATTATGAAAAAGTGGGTTTCAGAGGAGTGGAGGAGAAGAAATCACTGGAAATACTTCTGAAGGACAATTCACTGGGTAGGCATCTTTCTCCAACACCCATTAAACAACCTGCTGTCGATTTAAAACACATTCCAAGTTATTACATTAATTCTGGGTTTGTGTGACAAATTTAGAAGTTGAACCGATTAGTCAGAGGGAAAGTTTTTATATTGACAACAAGTTACTTATAACTTCTGTCGTACTGAAATAAAAACAATTATAAATCTAATTATTCTCAGTTGTTATTGGTAAAGTTGCAGCACTTTGCTCTTTTATTTAGTTTGATGAGCTGTACTTTCCTGCAGATCTGGAAAAGTTGTGCACCTTCAGTCAGAGGTTCCCGCTGCCGTCCATGTACAGGATTCATGTGTGGAAGGTGCTGCTGGGTAAGACACGCAGTCACACCAGGGAAGATGCTTCGCCTGTCTCAAATTCAGCTTTATGAACTGCAGAAGGGTTCAGATGAAATGTGTAAACACAACCGAGCTGCAAGGAAACGCATTAATGTTTCAGTTGTATTTCTGAATATTTCCCAAAGAAATACATGGGAGATCGCTTCAATTCCTTAAAACATTTTTCTATTTGAAATCTACTTTAGTTACTGACCCTGTGTATGTCTTCTTATGCTACGATTAGTTTTTAGCTAGTCTTTTGCTTCTTTAGATTTTAGTGATTTTTTTTTTTTTTAGAACGTTTAGTTACCCATTTGCTACTTTTGACTTTTAGCTAACTCATTTGCTTCTTTAGTGAGATTTTTGCTACGTTGCTACAGTAGCTTTGTATGCACCTTTTTGCTACTTGTAACATTTAGCTACCATATTGCCACCTAAGCTTTTAAGTAAGCCTTTTGCTACTTTTTGCTTTTAACTATTGTTTTGTAACTTTGAGCTTTTAGTGAGCCTGTTGCTACTTTATCCTTTTGTGAGCTTTTTGCTACTTTTAATTAGCCTTTTGCTACTTTTAGTTTAATTTTAGCTGCTTTTAGCAAACCCAGTGTCTGCTTTTATGTAGGGTTTTGCTATTTTAAGCTCTTAGTTAACCGTTGGCTACTTTTAGCTGACCTTTTGCTGCTTTTAGGTATTTTGTTAGCTTTTTGCTACTTTTAAGCTTTGCGCTAACATTTAGCTAATTTGGGCTTTTATTTAACATTTAGCCTTTAACTTTTAGCTTGTTTTTTCTTAGCTTTAATTGCAGTGTTTCAGCATCTTCAGTGAAGTTTTTCAGCCCTCAGTGTTCACACAGAAAACGTAATTTCTCTCGTTAGATTGCTCTCATGCATTGCTCTCATGATCTTGTAGAGGTTAAAGTGATCGGCGTAAGTATGTTATATCGCTTGCTTCCTACAATTAAAGCTCTTTATTGATTTATTCTCAGAATGTTCTTGTTCACTCTTTAAGTGTTCATCCCTTCTGGTTCTCCTGGCTTCTGCAGGCGTCCTCCCTCCCCACAGTGACTCTCATGTTCTGGTTGGAGGCTACAGGAAGGAGCAGTACCAGGACATCTTAGGGGCTCTGGAGGTGATGCGGTACATCCACCCCTCCACACCTTCCACCCACGTCTACCTGCGCATGTTCCAGCTGGAGAGCCAGGTCCTCCCGCGGTGCTCCGAGACCCTCCCACCTGTAAGAAGCTGGGCACGTGAATGCTCTATCTGGATGCCACTGCAAAGACTTTTATAATCTGATATCTGTTTTTAATTCCAGGATGAAGAGCACGAAGACTTCCTGTCCATAAGTCGAGCCATGGAAGAGATCGTTGATGATCCCATCGACTGCTATTGGCTGATTAAATGTTTCATTAATCAGTTCCACACAAAGTTCGGAGACTCAATACCTCACCTCGTAAGCGATTCATGAAGAAAAGCTGAAAGCTTTCAAAGTTTAACATACTTTTCCCTGAAACAACCACGGTTTCCTGACAGTTCATTATCAAAACCTTTTAGACGTGTAAAGACATTAAGTTAAATAGCAGCCTTGATGTGATAAGTTTAAGCTGTTGCTTCATTTTGTTCGGGCTGTTCTGTTGTAGCCAAAGAGCCTGGAGCATTACCTGAGCCAGGAGGAACCTCGGTTGTTGGCCCATTTGAAGAGCATCGGAGCGCTGCCCCAGCTGCCGTACAGCCTCTGGTTCAGACGCTGCTTCGCCGGCTGCCTGCCTGAATCCAGCCTGCAGAGGTCCATTTACCAGAGCCTGACTGAAACACCACACAGAGATCCCACACCACACATTCTTTAAATAAAAAACACCCCAACAATAGAGATCATGCTTATTTGCATTAATAAGCATGATCTTTTAGAGATACTCTGGATTTGTGGAGCCTCTTTTGTCCCACGGGCCTCAATGTTGGTGGTTTTTGGAATATTCTAGCTATAAACCCCATTTGTTGTTCTTAGGGTGTGGGACAAAGTGATCAGCGGCTCCTGTAAGATCCTGGTGTTTGTGGCTCTGGAGATTCTGCTCAGCTACAAGATCGTGTTGATGAGCATCAACCGACCCGAGGGCGTGTTCAAGTTCTTGTGTAACGTGAGTAAAGGATAGGAAATCCACCATTTAGTGATTTTTGTTGGCTTTAAGAAAATGTTTTTGTACATTTATGACACAATGTGTGTGTGTACCGTAACCTCTTTACACCCACAAAGAGGAATCAAAACTGAAAAGACTTACAGGTGCTGGTCATGAAATTAGAATATCATGAAAAAGTTGATTTATTTCAGTAATTCCATTCAGAAAGTGAAACTTGTATATTACATCCATTCATTACACACAGACTGATATGTTTCAAATGTTTATTTTAATGTTGATGTTTATAACTGACAACTAACGAAAACCCCAAATTCCGTATCTCAGAACATTAGAATATTTCTTAAGACCAATTAAAAAAAGGATTGTTAGAACTGTTGGCCAACTGAAAAGTATGAACATGAAAAGTATGAGTATTTACAGCACTCTTGTTTTCAATTGTTGGGTCTGGTGTATCGCATCTTCCTCGTCACAATACCACATAGATTTTCTATGGAGTTAAGGTCAGGCGAGTTTGCTGGCCAGTTAAGAACAGGGATACCATGGTCCTTAAACCAGGTACTGGTAACTTTGGCACTGTGTGCAGGTGCCAAGTCCTGTTGGAAAATGAAATCTGCATCTCCATAAAGTTGGTCAGCAGCAGGAAGTATGACATGCTCTAAAACTTCCTGGTAGATGCTGCATTGACCTTGGACCTCAGAAAACACAGTGGACCAACACCAGCAGATGACATGGCCCCCCAAACCATCACTGACTGTGGAAACTTGACACTGGACCTCAAGCAACGTGGATTCTGTGCCTCTCCTCCTCCAGACGCTGGGACCTTGATTTCCAAAGGAAATGCAAAAGTTACTTTCATCAAAGAACATAACTTTGGACCACTCAGCAGCAGTCCAGTCCTTTTTGTCTTTAACTCGGGCAAGATGCTTCTGATACTGTCTCTTGTTCAAGAGTGGCTTGACACAAAGAATGAGACAGCTGAAACCCATGTCTTGCATACGTCTGTGCGTGGTGGTTCTTGAAGCACTGACTTCAGCTGCAGTCCACTCTTTGTGAATCTCCTCCACATTTTGGAGTGGGTTTTGTTTCACAATCCTCTCCAGGGTGCAGTTATCCCTATTGCTTGTAAACTTTGTTCTGCACATCTTTTCCTTCCCTTCACCTCTCTATTAATGTGCTTGGACACAGAGCTCTGTGAACAGCCAGCCTCTTTAACAATGACCTTTTGTGTCTTGTCCTCCTTGTGCAAGGTGTCAATTGTCTTTTTGACAACTGTCAAGTCCTAGACTGAGACCATTTAAAGGCCTTTACAAGTGTTTTGAGTTAATTAGCTGATTGGAGTGTGGCACCAGGTGTCTTCAATATTGAACCTTTTAACAACATTCTAATTTTCTGAGATACTGAATTTGGGGTTTTCATTAGTTGTCAGTTATAATCCATCCACCCATTATCTGTTACTCGCTTCTTCCATTTTGGGTCGCCGGTGCCCATGTCCGGCAATCACTGTGCAAGGGGCGGGGTACACCCTGGACAGGTCGCAAGTCCATCACAGGGACACATAGACAAACAACCATTCACTCTCTCACTCACACCTAGGGACAATTTAGAGTTACCAATCAGCCTAACATGCATGTTTTTTTTTTTTTCATTTAGCCTTTATTTATCCAGGTTAGTCTCATTGAGCCACGAGAACTCATTTTCAAGAGAGACCTGTTTAGGGAGCACATGGTGGGGGTTAAGGGCCTTGCTCATGGGCCCAGAGTGGGGCGAATGAGGGTGGGGGCAAGTGTGGGTGTTTCACCTACCCCACCTACAATTTTGATGTTGTCGGGGCCGGGGCGTGAACCGGCGATCTTCGGATCACAAGCCCACCTCTCTAACCTCTGCGCCACCACTCCCCCATGCATGCATGTTTTTGGTCTGTGGGAGGAAACCGGAGTACCCGGAGAAAACCCACGCATAGAACATGCAACCTCCACCCAGAAAGGCCCCCGGGCCCGGATTTGCACCATCCTGCTGCCCGTCGGTTATAATCATCAACATCAAAAGAAATAAACATAATATACAAGTTTCACTTTTTGAATGGAATTACTGAAATAAATCAACTTTTTCATGATGTTCTAATTTTATGACCAGCACCTGTATCTGGGTCAGAGATGTTCACGGCAAATCTGTTTTGAGACGAGACAGTCATGTTTAAAATTCAACGGAGGACGTTGAGAACGCCTGAACGCTGCACAAGGTTCTGGTCATCGAGTTCTGCTGGGAGCTTTGTGTAAAAGACTGACGTTTCTCTTTCAGATACCGCAGGAAAACACGGACGCCATCGTCACTAAAGCCATCGACCTGTGGCAGAAGTACTGTGGCAACCCGAACCACGCTGTGTAGAAGCAGAAATCTGAAGCGGAAGGTGAGATGATTACCCAGAATCCATCAGGGCCGTCAAGAGTCTGCATCATTAACTGCCCACAGAGTCACTTCTACAGCGAATATAACAGAACAAATTAACTCAAACTTACCATTTTTAAATAATTTTCTTTATGAAATTTCATACATCATGACTGACAATAAATTAATACCCACATGCAGCTTTTTGAGTATAAAAACATCAAACATTTGAAAATCCTCTCGGTTCATCACATCCTCTTGAATAATTTTCTCTCAACACATACAGACAGCAGTAATACTGACACACGCACACACCAATAAATCCTCATGATGTGGTGATGAAACACAGTCAGACCTGTAAACAATAAAAAAAATGGCAGATTTTTATGCTTTGTACTGAAAATTAGGAAATAAGAATTAAAAAAAAATCTTTGTTTTAAATTTATAGAGTTCAGTTCCATTTTCGCACCGCTTAAGTTTTTAAATAATAATTTGGCAACTTTGGATTCCCCGTAAACAACTTAACTGCTCAGGGTGCATTCAAGGTCCAAGGTAAGTGTGTAATCAGAAGTGCCGGAGCTCCTGAACACAACGTGGATGGAAGATAAGATAAACTGAACAATTATTCAGCGTTTCTGTGAAGATTTGGCTTGAGTGACATGATCCATGTGATGTCATCCCTGAAATAAAAATAAAAACCAGGACAGTTTTAAAGAAAATTAAAAAATCATCCCTTCCGTGAGTTTGGCACAGACTGTGCTGATCTCCGCTGGCGTTTTCAAAGTAAATAAAACGTCATATCTAGTAAAAAAAAGACAAAAAGTTTTTGAATATCAAGAAGTCGTTCAAATCCCCCACGTGGGGAAGACGGCGGTTTAGAGTTCCTTCCAGCTCAGACTCGTGTGTTCATGTCAACTTCTCAGTTCGAGGTTGACGCTGATCCGCAGCACGGCGGCAGCCGTAGAAAAACATGACTGAGGCGTGACTGCTGCTTTATGGCCGGTGAAACCTGCAGAGGGAAAGAAAGGGGCAAAAGTGAGCTAATTTAGAGAAAATCCCAGTTTCTGTTCCTAGTGTCACCCCTGGATTAGTTAACCTTTGACCCTTAATTCCATGTTACATAGTGGTTGTAAACCAGAACTTCCCTTTAAGATGTTGCCACGTATTATGGCTGTGAAATGTCAGCGCGCTAGAAGCTGCACAGAATCTTCTGCTGTTGGCCACATGCTAGTTAACATGCATGGCTTTAAACATCCCTAGCTCTATAAAGTGCACATAGGAACCAAATGGAAAGCCCTAAAGTTAGTTTCTCACCTGGTCAGATGGCGGCTTGACTCGTGCACCTCCATCTCTGTGCTTTTAAACTCATTCAACTCTTTTCTAATGGCAGCCTGCAAAGCGAAAACAGAACCGGAGATTAGCGTTAATCTGATTCCCTTCATTTCTGTTGCAGTTTGGGTTAAACGAACCTTATCGGCGGCTGTTAGTCGAGTCCATGGCTTGTCTGCTCTCCGGTCGTAGTCCTGAGCCTCGGCCACCTCCACGTAGTCGCTGAAGCGGATGAGGATCTTCGCCTCCCTCAGCTCCTCGACCGTAGGCCTCTGGCTGAGCTGCAGGATGCAAAAAAAAACACTTTCACTTTTGTGAGATCAAATCCACGACATCCTGCAGGTTAAACTGTTTTAAAGTTTCACAGGACAGAAGCGAGTGTGTGAAGGCTGAAGATCGGTGAAAAGTTGATCTGATGAAGGAAAGCAGTTGGTTTCACTGCATCCTGGGATCATTTAACTGAACTACAGATCCAGTGTCGCAGCTACGACCGTGTGTTTGCTTTTGTCGCACACTTCTGTGTGTAGTTTTATCCTCTGGACTAAAGAGTCTCATCCTAAAGATTCGTTTTAAAAACAGATTAAGGAAAACAAAACATTTTTTGTGGCTGCAAACAGAAAGCACTTTTGAACCCTTAAGCATGATGCTTTACAACTTGTGTCACAAATAAAAAAAAAAGCTTTTGTTTTCATTTTCACTGCTTTAAATCTCAAAACTTCAGTCCTGATAATTACTACATTTCCATGAATTTTAAGTCTAATGTCAAGTTGAGATTATTAGCCCATGTTTTAAACAATAAAAACAAAATATTTTCCTTAAACTTTTTTTTAGGGGAAGTTATCACCCCCGTAGATGTGTCAATAACATTGATCTTAAATAAAATCTCATTAGTACAAATAATCTGATTCTGCTCAGATGTTATGTCTGTGAAGACTCTTCATGAACATGTTTTATTCTGATCTTTGTCTCAACGCTGAAGAACTAAAACCAGCCCGAGACTTTTATTTAGCACTTCAAATAAAAACCACTGAAAGCAGCTTTTTATTTACATTAATTTTCAATAAACTGAAAACAAAATTAAACATTTTGTACAAATAAACCTAAAGATTTTTGAACTAACCTTTTGAAATGAAACATTTATGTCAAACTGCTTTTCCACAACAGTCATTTCACAGAGAACATGTGATGCACCAAAAAAAGAGCTCCGTCTTTAACCAAGCAGGCTGACTGTCTCATTTTATCACCGGAAAGCAAAGAAAAAGTCCTGAAAGTGTCTTCAAACAGTTAAATGTGCAACATTTCAGTGACTTGTTGTCAACTCCTGCTCTGATCCTTAAAGATTTTGAGCCAGCGTTTTGCTCCCTGTGGTTTTCTGACTTGACAAACGTTAAAGCCCAAACTGAGAAAACAACAACATAACCAATAAAACTGATGTTTTCAAAAGGGCATCAGTCTGAAGGTCAGTCGCCACGGTAACCATGTTGATCTCACCTTTTTCGATAAATGCCGTTTGATCTCCCTCTTCTCCTCCTGCTCCTCCAGATCGTTTCGAGCTGAAGGAAAACGTCAGAAAGACCGCCGTCACACTCCGATGAGAACGTTAGTGTTTTCTGTGACGGTTTGCAAAATGACTCACGTTTCAGGATGTTCCGTTGTTCCAGCTCCTCGGCTGTCGGCCTCTGACTCAACCGCCTGAAAACAAGACAAATGTACATTTATATTTGAGATTTTCTTATGCAAAGATGGTACCCCCTGCAGGGCAAAGCGACTGCAGTGTCGTTTTTAATGCAAGTTATAATCCTGACTCAAATATAACGTCATGGAGGACTGATGGTGAGGGCCGAAACGAAAAGTATCCAGACAGATTTAAAGGTACCAGATTATCAGAACAAAGTATGAGCTGAAAACAGCCACAGCTCAGAAGTCACGTGAAACACGTCAGTGAGCATCACACTGAAGAAAAACATCCCATCTGAATAAACGACGTGATCTGAAACTAAACGTGGAACACTAACGAGCTTTGAACGCCATCGTCTGCTCATCTTATAACGTGCGGTTATTTGTTCATGGTGGTTGCCTGTTGCTGTTCATGACTGTAATATTGTTGTTTTTTTACTCTGTTTTGGAAACAAAGCTGCTTTATGACAAATAAATATATTTTACTTGAGCTTCTTAAGTTATTTTATAATAGTATCAAACGATCATCATTGTAGTCTCAATTTGACCCCTAGAGGTCATTAAGGATTTCCCTACACCAGGGTGGTTTAACTTCAGTGAGCCATATTTAAACACGTTGGTGAAGGTTCTTTTTGTCTTGAACTTTTTGAATTGGCCATATTTTAATGTTACCATGGGTTACAGTGGCGGCTGGCTAATAGAGGGTGTTAGAGCGCCACCCCACCACTCGCATTACCTTGAAGACATTAAAAAGATTGATTAAAAATGAATTAAAATTAAAATATTACGATTTTATACATATATATATATATTTTGTTTTTTTTTGGTTGTGTAAGATACATATTTTATAGTTAATGATGAATAAAGTTGTTTCTTTCAAAAACGTCTAATTGATGACGTATTTCCGCCCTGGGGCACAAGAATTTTTGCCCATAGACTTTTCTTAAAAGTTGTACATGCGCAGTTAGCTCCTACTCATTACAAAATATAGGACTATTCTGGGCGCAACTCTCCTGCGCCCAGAGTACAGGTGCACAGTACGAATTGTGCTTCCAGTCCCGGAACAGAGCATGCAGTGACACTACATTATGTACACGTGTGTGTGTATATGTGAACCACCTCATGAACCACTGGATGGATAACGTCCTGATGCATGCTCAATAATCCAGTTGAGATAAATCTAACAAGGTTGGGTCATGTCCTCTTGGACGGGTTCTTCAACAAAGAAGAACCCATCCAGAGGACCTGACTCAACCTTGTTAGATTAATCATTGGACATTCACGGACACCACATCAACGCAAAAATGGCTCTAACTCAGTCACTTTTACAGATATTGAATTAAAATTTGACGTGGTAGCCGCTGAGCCGCAACACATACTCTGAACATGACACAATTTGACTAAAATTACAGTTTTAATTCTCAACATCATTTGACACCAGTTGCTACTGGCAAAGTAACCCAAGACCATTTTTGGTCCATTTGCATAGAAAATGTATATTTTTTAACACGACTTCCAATTTTTTAGCTTTGATAGTGACATCTTGACATTTGCAGTGCACGGATGTGACTTTTGCTGTTGTCTTCCATCTGTACTGCATCCTTACTGCTTTTTGCACAGGTTGGATGAATCAATCAATCATTTACAGGTGTGCAGGTTCACCCACCTGTCTGAATGACAGGAAACGGACTATACTAGCTTAAACTGATGCTAACGTGACACTCGAGTTGTAGAAGTTGTTCTGATAAGTGTTGCATATTTTAGCATTGCATTCAGACAAACTTGTTTGGGAATTTTGTGAGGTCCAAAGAAGTTTTAAAAGGGTGCGGTGGGTATGATAAGCCCCTCGGCTGAGGCAGAGGCTCACCTGGTCAGTTTGGTGGCGGTTTGTTGTCGGGACTCGAGACGCTCCTGGTACGACTGCATCGGCAGGATGTTCTTCTCCTCCAGCTCCCTCTTCGATGGACGGTTGCTCAGCTTGATGGCCAGAGAGTCTTTTCGTAAAACCTTCATGGCCAGCGTGCCTTCACGAGCAAAAGGACAGTCATTTTAGATGTGCAGACCTTTTATGTAATTAACCGCATTTAGGAGCATAAATCTATTTCATTAAAATATTTATGTTTTCGTTTTTCCTTCCTTCTTTGTGTTATACTTTACAAAAACAAACTTGTGTCTAGTGTAACCATAAAAAACTTGTCCCTTTAATTTAAACCTGTATCTTTGTTCATAAACACATTAACAATAACGGTGAAAGCACTGAGGTCATAACGCGCCCCAAATGAATAAACAAAGCAGCTTACTTGTCAGAAGTATATCATCCTCCTCTTCCTCATCGTCTTCGTCTTCATCCTCTTCCTCGTCCTCGTCCTTGTACATGCCTGGCAGTTCCTCGTAGTCCGCCTCGTTGAGGTTTTCTTTGTCCTCTTCGCACTCGATCATCATCGTGGGAACGGCGTGCATCATGGAGCTACAGTTTGGTGCAAAAGGTCAAAGGTGAACGTGAACCGTTCAGGAGAGTGGGTTTATAACATAAAATACATCATCTGAAATAAAGTACATAATAGTAAAGTTCTCCAAACTTATTTATTTTTATTTTATTTTTATAGCCCCCAACTATACAACCTGCAGTAAACTTCCCTGAACTTTATTGTGATAGTCCCCAACTACACTGTAGTAAAGTTCTCCAAACTTTTATTTATTTTTATTTTATTTAAATGTATTTTTATTTTATTTTGATAGTACATGACAATACAGCCTGCAGTAAAGGTCCCCGAACTTTTATTTTCGATAGTCCCTGACTACACACTGCAACAAAGTTAACTGAAAGCACAATTATAAATAATAATAATAAATAAAAAATACTAAATAAAAGCACAATAATATGCATTCCAAGTCAAAACACGGACTAAACCTTTGAACGTCTTGATAAACTAGACCTGGATCACGGTTCTGATGGCAGCGTTAATGCAGAAAAGTCCAGTAGAGATTTTGCTGCAACATCTGTTGCCTTCAAGGACCACATCTTTTCCAGGGATGTCTGAGAGCTTTCACCAAGATGCTGTAAAACCACGCTCTGCTCACATTAAAAGGGCTGAGGGAGAATGGGGTACAGGTTCTGGACCAGCCCAGAATTCTGCCTGCAGTCCTGGCCTGTCTACAACATACAGCCCCAACACCAAAAAAGTTGTGTAAAATGTAAATTCACATTTCAAACCCATGAAAAGGCAACTTCTTAGATAATTAAATCAAATGTTTACATTTTTAGGCAACAAAAAAAAAGTACCCCTCAAATGTTAAATATTTTCTATTCTTTGTCTTTATAAATAAACATTTGGATTTTAATAGTTTAGACAAAAATCGAAGAAATGACTGATGAAGCCAATAATTGTCAGATTCTGAGTCGGTCGTCCTCACCTCTCAAACCTCTGCATGGTGAGGGCCAGAGTTTTGTTGAGCTCCTCGATGATCCGGCTGGGCGGGTGCAGAGGGATGGGTAGCGTCCCGTACGGCAGCCCTGGGGTGTGGCTGGAGGGGGCGGGGCACTTCTGGAAGGCGAGCGGAGAGGGCTCCATGCTCCCTGCGGGTACTGAGATCATGAGCTTCTTTGGAGGTAGAGGAGGAGATAGCTTCCCCGACATGCTTGGTAACTTCATGGGGGCACCATCTGCATGAGAGAGGGGGAGGGACAGGATGAGATGCAGAGACAAACCCAGTCAGGAGCATGCACGGGGGGCGTACACAGACACAAGCCCACCTGTGAGGTGATTGGGTAACCTGCTGAAAGGTTTGGGCAGCAAGGCAGGGGGCTGTTTGTGTAACGTAGGGCCTCTTGAGTCGACGTCAGCTGGGTAAACTGTGGGCGGGGTTGTGGGCGGAGCCTGACTGGATTTCTGATCTTGTTGATTCGAACCATCACTTGGCATTTCAAACTCCACTATTCCTGAAATAAAATTAAACCAAAAGCAAGCAGAGGTCAGAAGGTGTCAAATAAAAACATCTGGTAAGAAGTGTTGGGGCTCTGCTGCTTACCTACAGCTGCAGCTGCTCCTTCCATCAGTTCGGTACCATCAGACTCTGACGGGTCGGCGCCGAGCGCCAGAGAGTGACCGTTCTCCATCTTCACCTCTTGCCGGAGACCCGGCGAGGAGCTGCCATCTACAAAGAGAAAGACAGTAATGAAAAAGATTAAAAGGGTCACAAAACGTCAGACTGTTTATTTTAATTTATCTGTGGCTGTGTTGTGGTGGCACGGTGGATCAGCTGGTAGAGCTGTTGCCTCTCAGCGAGAAATTCGCCAGATGAAATCCCATCAGGGGACCTTTCTAGGTGGAGTTTGCATGTTCTCTCTGTGCATGCGTGGGTTTCCTCCCACAGACCAAAAACATGCATGTTAGAATGATTGGTAATTCTAAGTTGTCCCTAGGTGTGAGTGAAAGAGTGAATGGTTGTTTGTCTCGTTTGTCTCTGTGTCCCTATGATGAACTGGAGACATGTCTTGGTGTCCCCCGCCTCTCACACAGTGACTGCTGGACATGGCACCAGTGACCCCCGCGACCCAAAAAGGAAGAAGTAGGTAAAGATAATGAATGAATTAATGGCTGGATGGATGGATGGATGGATTGATGATGGATAGATGGATGCATGCTTTCATTGATAGATGCATGGATGGATGTATGGATACCTGCATGGATGGATAGATGGATGGATGCATGGATGGATGGATGCATGGATGGATGGATGCATTCATGGATGGATGGATGGATGGATGGATGTGGCCACATTGCAGAAGCTACAGATCCAGGAGAGAAACCCAGACCTTCTGCTCCTCCAACTGAGACAGACCCAGAAACCTTTCAGAGGGATGCCTTCAGGTGCCATCCTAATTCTCTCTTTTCATTCAAAATGTTCTAAAAACTTTACAACATGTGACGTTTGAGGGTACCTGAAGCAGGAAAGTCTTTAATATGCTTACCTTTGTCATAAACCTCCTTCAGGAACCCCTTCTTGATGAGCTCCTCTCTGCTTTGGCGAGTTGACATTTTCCTTTCCAACACTGAAGAACAAAGAACAGCAAGAAAACTTGAGCAGATTAATAAGAATGTGAAACGTTGATACATTTTTGTTTTCAAAGAAAAATAAATATTGAATCACACCCACAGTTTTCAGAATGGATGCAGGAGTGGAGGTTTGTGTAGAAACATACTGAATTTAAAGTGTAGCTGCAGCGACAGCTGGGAGAACCGCTCGACTGCTGGAAGCTCTGCGCTGCGTTTGCGTCTCGGTGAGAACGGGACGTAAAACGATTCATCCGGCGGCTGTCAATCAAAATTAATCTTCTGTCTCCGCTCGGTGGATGTTGTAACTCTCAGCATCACATACGGGACATTTCCTCGGATGTATTTGGACGCCGCTCTGAGTGACGGGTTCGTTCATTGTTGAAGCGGCGACACAAAGGCCGCCGATCTTCATTTAAGCTAATTTGTTGCTGCAGCCAGCATCAATTATGACTCGTGCACAGCTGCTGTTCGGATCACTGATTAACGCTATAATTAACAGCTTTTATTTATTTTATTTATTTATGATGTTTTAATTGATTATGTGAAGCACTTTGTAACATTTGCTTGAAAGGTGCTATACAAATAAATTATTATTGTTATTATTTTAATCAGGGAAGTCAAACATGTATGTTGTGTAAATAAGCTTTTTATTTAGTCTTTAACACATTCTGTTGAAATTATTCAGAATTACAATTTTATAGATAATTCAGCGTTCACACCGTTTTCCTGGTTTTCATTTGATCCACAACTTTTTATGCGATCCAGCGAATTAAGACGTTTTGCTACTTTAGCCACACATAGCTATCTAAAATGTTCGGCTCTTTCAACTGATGGGGTATTTTGTTTTTTTGTAACTTTTATACTTTTCAAAATAGTTAGCTTATTATGTGGTATGCTTCAGCATACTTGCTCCTTTTTGTCTTCTTGTGCTACTTTCCATTTTTATCTACCGATCAATTATGTTTAACAGTCAAGATGCCATTCAGAAACTTTTAGCTATTTTTCTGCTATATTTTACTAGTCTTTAGCTACTTTTAGCCATAGTTCAGTTATTTTAGCTAGTCTTTTGCTACGTTTGACATTTAGGTAGAGCTTTGCTTCTTTTAGCTATTCTTCTGGTGCTTTTAACGTGAGATGTGTTGATTTAATCCTAAGAATTTTAGCTCCTATTTCTACTTCCACCTTTTAATTGGCCTTTTGCTACAGTTAGTTGTGTTCAACTATATTGACTTTGCCTTCTGCTACTTTCACTTCACCCTTTGCTATGCTTACCTCACTTTTTGCTACTTTGACCTCATCTTTTAATTTCTTTACCTCACCTTTTGCTAAATTTACCTCACGTTTTGCTAATTTGACATTACTTTTTGCTACCTTTACCTCACCTTTTGATTTCTTTACCTCACCTTTTGCTACTTTGACCTCACCCTTTGCTACTTTGACCTCACCCTTTGCAACATTTACCTCAGCCTTTGCTACCTTTACCTCACCTTTTGATTTCTTTAGCTCACCTTTTGCTACATTTACTTC